GGTCCAATTAATTTTCCGTGTGGACGGGCTATGCAATGTGATGAAAACCAAGTGGTGGACAAAAAAAAATGGGGGTTTTCATCATTTGCACGGCTGAAAACTTGACTTAACATATCACTAAGGTTATTAGTCAACTAAATCTAAAAACATAAAAAATATATATCTTTTTGTAACTTAATGTAAATGATAACTGAAATAAAATAAAATATAAAAACATATTTTATATAATAATATAAAAGACGTTTAGATTAAATGTTATATTTTTACATGTAACAAAAAACAATAAAATATTTCAGCTAGTTGCCAAGGTAATATTTATAATTTTAATTTAGTTTAAGTTAGATTAAAAAAAAAACAATAAAAATAAAAATAGCTAAATATAAAAAAAATCTAAAACAGGAACAAAAACTACACAAACATTAAAAAATAAATAAAAATTAACTAAAATTTAAAGAAAAATGGAAAATATAAAAATAAATAAAAACTATATTAGTATAGCAAAACTGCTCATGGCTGGTTAGTAGGGGTGGGCGAATCAGCTGGAGCATTCAAGAAATTGAATTAACATTAAATATATCAATTATACATTGATTCTTATTTAAGCAACTGTATAAAAGTTCTTGCTGCTGTTTTATTAACATTAAAGGGATAGTTCACCCCAAAATTAATTTACTTACTCTCAAGTTGTTTTTCAAACCTGAATGAGTTTCTTTCTTCTGTTGAACATAAATGTTATGTTGAAGAACGTGGGTAAAACAGTTGCTGGTCCACAGTGACTTCCATAGTAATTTTTTTTCCTGCTATCAATGTCAATGTGGACCAGCTATTTTTGGTTACCCACATTCTTTAAAATATCCTCTTTTGTGTTCAGCACAAGAAAGAAATTAATACAGGTTTGGGACAACATGTGAGTGAGTAAATAATAACAGAAATTAAATTTTAGAGTGAACTATCTATCCCTTTAAATTGTTGTAATTTATTAACACTTTGGAATACAGACATAAGGTTTGTCTCTTTTTAAAGAAGAAAATCAGCAAATTATCGCAAAAGTGGAATTTTTATTACTATATTAATTTACTATATTAATTTTATTTTATTTTATATATAAATATTTTACATATCAGGTTTTACTCTAAAATTGGTATAAAATTATAGCCTTATGTCTAAATAAGTTATGTTCCAAATTTGAAGTTGATATGAAAAAAATTGAGGTTCCTGTGAGATTTAAGACTCAGACCTTTCCAATGATATGTTTTTTGTCAAGATTATAAAAAGTTTTGATTCTAAAAGACCGTAATTCATTTTGTAATGACACTTGACACTGCCCACTAAGGGGGAGGAGACCGCCAAAAGTTTTTAAAGTACCATTTCCATGGTAAGGCAATGTCTGATTTCGAAATGGTTTTCAAAGGATGAATCTTGGGCTTCTAAGCTTTCAAATGATATATGATTTATGATGATTACTAAGAGCGCCAAATGTCCCACAGGTGGGACGGTGACAGTTAAGGAGTTAAACACTTAGACTTAGACTTTGACACATAGACTTAAGCAATCATATTTTGCCACACATTATTTTGTTTAGTTCAGAATCGTGGGAGAATCATGATCTCTATTTGAGACAAAAAAAAAATGTGATTCTCAATTTATCCAGAATCATGCAGCTCTAGTCCTGTGTTTTTTTTTGTACTTGAGTGCAATAAATTTTGGTTGAAAAAATTAGAATCGTGTAAGAGAATCGTGATCTCAATTCCCATGGAGAAAAATTAGTTTTTTCATTTGTTTACCTTCACCTAACCCAGGGGTAGGCAAGTTCGGTCCTAAAGAGCCGCACGCAGTCCTGCAGAGTTCAGCTCCAACCCTAATCAAACACACCTCAACAAGCTAATCAATGTCTTCAGGATTACTAAGGCTATAGGCAGGTGAGTTTTGTTTTCAGGGTTGGAGATGAACTCTGCAGGACTGCGAGCTCTCTAGGACCGAACTTGCCTACCCCTGACCTAACCCATAAGCAACTGCGTTTACAAGGATACTTGCAGAGCACAGTATTTCAGGCAAAAATAGACGCAGAAGTGAACAGAATTCAGTGTTCACGTGCATCTGCGTGGCTCTCACCGTGTCTACACCAGACGCGGGCGGCACGACAAAATACAATGAACCTATTATAATCAGCGAGGCTGTATGTCTACACTGGATGCGGCATGTCAAATCACCGACAGTAAACTGATGCCGCGTTCTATTTATGACGTACTGACACAAAGTTCAAATGATTTGCAATGGTCGCTTTGTCGCGTCCAGTGTAGACAGACTTTGGCGATGTTCACATGTCGCACCTAAAAACGCGTGGAAAACGCCAGCCGCGCCGCTTTGTCCTTCTTTCCAAAGCGCTCGGGAGCTTGCGCTTTCGTGGCATCTGCTGTTGCTAAGCAAATCTCTGTACAGCTGTCGCATCCGGTGTAGACACGATGTCTGTGTGTGAGCAAAGAAAACAATCAGTACAAATATAACGATCAGTATACTAAACATCGCACATCCTGCAATGTGACTATTGCGGATGCGCACATGGCGATATCAATGCTGAAACGATATATCGTGCAGCCCTAGTTTCTGAAGCTCCCAGTAACAGCATTCCTGACCCCACACCCCAACCAAAAGTCAATTTCCCCTCTCTGCCAAACAATGAGCAGGACTCTCGAAATACAAGAATTGGGTAGACAAACAGGCCTGACAACCTCAGACTAACACCTACGATCATACTTTAGCTAAATCCTGATTAGTGCTGTTAAACCACCTTCTGGTAAACAGACTACAAGTGCCATAAGTCAACCGAGCTTTCTTATGGGGTGAAACAAGTAAAGCGTATTTTGCAATGTTGCGGTGTAAAAGTTGTGCTCAGAAGAAATAAACAAAAGTGAGGAAGGGAGGGATGTAAAGTGGCAGCAGAGCATGTGAAGAGAGGGAGAGAGAGTGTGCTAACGCCCCAACACCGCCGCAGTGTTCTTCCACTGCACCAACACCAGCTCTGTTTACTTCATCACAAACTTTCATAGATTCGGTCTCTATCCTTCAGATCACCCTTTAAAGAAGTATTGTAAGGTCTTGCTTCAATGCAGCTCCTCGATGAAGCAAACAATCACACCACATAATGTCTAAACAAGCACGTAGACAGGTCACATCCACATGCAGCCTTCACAAAATGTGTTTTCAGAGCCTCTGCTCACACCACATAAGAAACAGTGAAGTTCAGGTCTTACTGTTGTCCCAAATCAAGAACAAGAAACGTTTAATATACAGAGAATGGTTAGCCACATTAAGGATACAGGTTTGCATTGAGAAACCCTTTATTTGGTCAAATAGAATGATTGTAGCACTGGATCAGCCTTAATGGATCTAGAGTGAAATCTTTAGGCTATTATACTATGAAACTATTTTTCTTTCTCGCCAGAAACAAATTCCTCCGTTAAACATGAGAAATGAAAACCAAACCAAAACTGATTTCATGTCGCCATCAATCTCATAAAAACACTGAGAACTGAGAGTGTTGCAGTGATCTAGTATTTATAGTCTGAATGGTGCGCTGATAACCCAACGTAAATGTTTATTATAGATCTTATTCTGTATTTCCATAATCTCTGCAGCTACTTCAGCACCTAAAATCAATGTGGAGACAACAATATTTCCTCCCATATGTGCCCTTGAAACATGCATATATTAAGCTGCCCATCCCAGTGGCTGATTTCTGCAGGGCAGCTGAGCCCGTCTGGCCAGATCCGATTCCCAGAGAGAGCGCCACAATTTGACGAGGATTATCATTTCTCCAGCTTCACACGCTCAGCTTTAATTATTGCAGACTTTCTTTATTATAGATCTATACAACCCGTAGGAATAAATAAAGGCGCACAGTCTGACAAAATGCATATATTTTGAGCAATACGCCAACATTTCCTCGACTTCAGGGTGGGGGAGGAAAACAAACTCCCCTTAGCAAGGGGGCTAGAGCCGTTAGCGGGCTAACCGTGAAAGTCGACACCTGAGAGGACGTACAGACGTTTTCCCGACACGAAATGGTTTTTAAAAGAGTAAAGAGCAATTTCAAATTGCTTACCTTGTTCAAAACGTGAGCTACATCTACAAAATTATACTTGGTATTCCCTCCCGATGCTTGTTTTTCCCATTTGAGGCCTTCTGCTTCAGCGAGCTCCGATGCGGGAACATCCGAGGCGCGCGACGCTCATTTCAGCCCGCGCTCGCGCCAGCGTGCTAAAATAATCACTGATTACCTCCTCCAAAAATGCTATGATTAAAATCTCTCAGGGCTCCGGTAAACTGGTAAGAGAAGGTGTTATAAACTCTCCATCCGTCCCTTTAAAAAGTCCACGGGTCTCAGTAACGTTAGGTTTGCTGATTTGGCTTGATTTGAAGTGTAAAAATAAAATTCCGCTTCAAGTTAATCCTCTACGTCCGACTCCTTTCGATCGGCCTTTGACTCGCGCTGACGAAGAGCGGACGCGAAGCGTTGATACGCGGACTGTGATAGGCTGACGCGTATGGGCGGTCACTGTTTGTTCCCCGTTGCAACGGTGAAACTGGCGCCATTGTGGTTCTTGCTAGGGACGTTTCCAACGTTGTTTTCTTTGGCGACTTCGATCCGTAATGGCGGAGACAGTGGCATGTTTTTGCGAGCTCCATTTGGGTGAGAGGAAAATGGAGAGCCTGCTTGGGTATATGTAGTAAAGTAGTTTGCTTTTTTGTTTGTTTGTTTTTTTTAAGTAACGAGTGAACTGTGCTGCCGGAATTGTTTTTCCTCATCCCGTTTTAATTCAGACTGATCTGAAACAGCCGTTTATTGCGATCTACAGCATACTTTATAAGTATTATAAACTGTTTGCCGGTGACGGATTGCGAGATCATCAGCCACAGCACGATTTGCTTTCTTTGACTGTTGTCTGGTAAATGTATATTAGATGCGTTGGTTTTTGTTTTATTTTCGATTTGACGTCACAAGCCTCAGGGACCGTGACACCGATTTCTTGCGATCAGAATAACGCAATGGCTCCCTCTATTGAAAAGAGCCTAAACTAGCTGTCTGAGATATAGCCTCCTCTATTCTAGACAATCTTGTTATAATTATACTCAAGTGTGCTGCCCTCACTTCGTATCCTAACATAAAAGACATCTGAAATCACACAGGCCCATACCTGCAAGTGCAAATAAGAATAGCAGACGTGTAAAATCTTGCTTCGACAAAAAGCTGACTAGTGCGACATGACTATATATATATCTTAATAATGACTAATGATTTATTTTACCTATATTTCTGCGCTATAACTAGATTATATTTATTTTTCCACTATAACTACGTTTTAAACATCAGATTACAGTCGTCTTTGCGCATGCCCAATTAGAACTGTTTGTAGTTTTTTGGGTTCATGAACGTGCAAGTAGAACTACATTTCCCGTCAGCCCGTACTCGAACTGTTTCCGTTCTGATTGGCTGATTCCGAAGGTGAAAGTTGAACAGACATGTTTTTCAAGCCCGCACGGTAAACATCATTAAAGTTCACGGCTTTAGTAGTCAGTACAGCTTTGTAATGGCCTTGTAGTTGTATAATTTAAGACCCTTTTGTATTTAAGCATTTTATTTGTTCTGTATGTTTGGGATATATTCGAGCAGGAGACGCGCTTGTTGTTTTACAGCAGCTATATTTTTGGCTGTGTTGGATAAGACCTGCAGAATCACAGTGAGAGCTGCGTGATAGCACCTCTTAGGGAGCTCACATTAAAGACTGCCATTTGTTCTGGTTTAGTATGTTTTTGATCAAAGCGACGCGATAAACCAGCATTTAGTATGGCAGCGCTACTTTTGCAGCGCGGAAGCAAATGTTACGACAAACGGGTTTGGTCGCTATCGTCTCGTTTAAGCTGTTTTCAAACCTGCAGAAAACTCCTGGAGAGCAATGTGACTTCATACTCGCCTTTAGTGACTCCAAACAAACGAGGTCTAAAATCAGGACACATTCAGGTGGGTTATTTAAACGTCGACCAAGCATTATGTAAACTATTTATGCAACGAATGTATGCTATCCTATGAACAGTGATGTTAAGTATATGTGGGACAGCTTGCACATAATGTCCGATGCTGATATATACGGTTTATATAGAACATACAGTTTTAATGTAATGTAGAACAGGATATTTTTTAATATAATAAAATTAGTGCATTATCTTTGATAAGTCAAGTCTGTTATTTTTTTTTTTTTTGCTTGAGAAAACAGAGCAGATGGATCATAATAATAGCATGTAATCTCTATGATTATGCATGAGCATGACCTTGATGTTACTTGGGTGATTAACCAAGTAGCCATTGTTTCACAGAACATTTTGACAAAGCCTTTAATCCCGAGGCTTATTGGACTTGAATTCCATTGTCGCCACAAACTGATCACAAATCCTGTGAAACTTTGGAAACTATTAGGTAAGTATGACATTTAGTAAGTAATGACATTTTTTGTTTTGGCTGGAAAGAGTTGTGATGCAGAACTTTTGATTTTTGAATCTAAATGCTTTTTCTGAATTATGTTGCATGGCATAATGCAAATATGTTTTCACATCTGTCAGGCACTACTCACTATTTCAGCACATCCAACAGAAGACATGAAAAGAAAGAAGGTGGAAAAGGGAAGACCCCAGAGGAGGATGAAGGTATTTTCTGAATTTTTAAAACAGTAGTTTACAAACTACTTTCTAAATGCATATTATTGTGAATGGTTTATCCGTGTAATTTTTAATTTAAAAAAACATATGCAGGACTTCTCCGATCATTTAGCCTGCTTAAACCCACTCTGACAAGCTTGTTTCCATCGCCCTCTGTATTTGAGTGCAGCATCCAAATCTCTAAATCCAATCAACAACTAATAGATAGAACCAAGCTGTAAACGAGTTATTTTATTTATTTTTTTCCCTCAATAATTTGTTAAACTGGAATGTGCCTCACAATACGGAGCAAAACGTCTGTCGCTACTTCAGTTTCCTCATGATTTTTTGCCTTTATAAGGGCTTTTTTTTTTCCAACTTTATTAAAAATGTCAGATACATTTTTGTTGTTGTTGTTGTTGTTGTTGTTTTTGAATTCTTGCATTTAATCAATAAATCAAACTATAATAATAAGGGATTGATGTCTGAGGTCTGTGGTCTGTGGACGATGCAGTTAACATGGGACTGCATTATGTTCTGCAACATCTAGACAGACCAGGGACTTATGTGAGGATCCTGTTCGTGGACTTCAGCTCGGCCTTTAACACTATCATCCCAAACCTCCTCCTGCCCAAACTATCTCAGCTCTCCGTGCCCATCTCCGTCTGTCAGTGGATCAACAGCTTCCTGACAGACAGGCAGCAGCTAGTGAGGCTGGGAAAATACACATCCAGCACCCGTACGATCAGCACTGGAGCTCCTCAGGGTTGTGTTCTCTCCCCACTGCTCTTCTCCCTCTACACCAACGACTGTACGTCTAAAGACCCTCTGTCAAGCTCCTGAAGTTAGCACATGACACCACACTCATCGGCCTCATTCAGGACGGTGATGAGTCTGCTTACAGACAGGAGGTCGAGCAGCTGGCTGTCTGGTGCAGTCTCAACAACTTGGAGCTCAAAACGCTCCAAACTGTGGAGATGACCGTGGACTTCAGGAGAAACCCCCCTGCACTCCCCCCACTCACCATCATGGACAGCACTGTGACTGCAGTTGTCAATTTATATATTTTTATTCCTTATTTACTTGTTCTATTTTTTATTATCTGTGTTTTTTGTTCTGTCACTGTCATTCTGTTACACTGTGGAAGCTTCTGTCACGAAAACAAATTCCTCGTATGTGTAAACATACCTGGCAATAAAGCTCATTCTGATTCTGATTCTGATTCTGATTCTGATGTGTTTTAACTTAGATAATGTTTTAAATATTGGAACATAAAAATTTAATTTGTTTAAATAAAATTGTATTTTTAAATATAAACCTACAACTGTCAGTAAGTCCCTGTCTAAATGAGTGAGTCATTGAATCATTCATTTAAAAGATTTGTTTCAAATAGCTGATTCATTCAGAAATGAAGCAAGTGACCATCTTTATGAATGCGTCATTGAGTCATTCCATCATTCACTCAATCAGTTCAATCAACAAAATGCAGTAACGAAACACCACTGTGTGGCTATTTTTTATTTTCGTTTTTTATTGCTGTTACAAATACTTCAGTAGGTTATATTAAAAAGATAACAATGCAATGAAGGGGTATTTTTGTTCATTTTTTTGCAAAGTGAGCTTCATGTTCAATAATGTCATTGACAATTACAGTTTTATTGTAGACAACGTATATCAACGTGTTTTATTTAGAGACCATGAAGTAAAATGACAGTCATAGAATTGGCACAGCTATGTAGGACATCAAGTTGAATGGGACAACAGTCAATAAATGCAATTTGTTGACCAATCAGACACAAGTAATTCAGTCAGGCAGATATACTTTCATACCAGATTATTCATGCTTACTTTACTTCATTGTTTACTCCCTAGAAGAGAAAAAGAGACGAGAGCAGGAGGACCAGATGTATAGGGAACGACTGCGCACACTCTTTATTATCGCTGTCATCATGAGCTTGCTCAACTCCATCAACACCAGTGGGGGGAACATATCCTGGAATGATTTTGTAAATGAAATGTTGGCTAAAGGGGAGGTGTCACGAGTACAGGTGGTTCCAGAGAGTGACATTGTGGAGATCTACCTTCACCCTGGTGCAGTCATCTTCGGCAGACCTGTACGTCATTTCACGTACAAGTGCCATATTTGATTTCAAAATAATTGTTATCGTTTTGTTGCTATTAAATCTAGTTTCACTAATTTCCTGTTGTCTGTTGTAGAGACTTGCCCTGATGTACCGAATGCAGGTGGCTAATATTGACAAGTTTGAGGAGAAGCTTAGAGCAGCAGAGGAAGAGCTGAATATTGATACCAAAGACAGAATACCAGTCACCTACAAGCGCACAGGCTTCTTTGGGAAGTGAGTAATTTGGACCTTCCACAGAGCATGCAATCCTGTCAAGCTGAAAAAAGATTAAAATCGACTGTTGGCATAACGAAGTATCACTAGATCAATTTCTTGTCCTTCACAGTGCTCTTTATGCACTCGGTATGGCTGCCATTGGGGTTGCAATTCTCTGGTACATCTTCCGCCTGGCAGGAATGGGTGGGAGAGATGGTGGCTTTAGCGCTTTTGTAAGTCAGGATTCCTTCATTTACATTCGTTGTAGAATTGTACAATTCAAATATTTTCTGATGTCAAATAATCTGTCTGCTCCACCAGAATCAATTAAAAATGGCTAAATTCACTATTGTCGATGGGAAATCTGGGAAAGGTGTAAGCTTCAAAGATGTTGCGGGAATGCACGAGGCCAAGATGGAAGTCAAAGAGTTTGTGGACTATCTAAAGGTAAGGGCATCTGAAAGTTAGACCCAAAACTTTATTTCCATTTATGTAACCGTGAAATCTTCTAGTTATTCATGCTCAGTTTTACTTGGTGCTGCATTACCGAGAGCAATTCATAATGCTATGTGAGAATGTTGCATTCTCAGCTAAAGGGGACCCTATAACAGGCATTAGCATAAACTAGGGTTGTGCGATCCTGATATTTTTTGGGATTTTGTGAATAATGATAATTAGGCATTATTTTTGCTGTTTGTGTTTTTGTGTGGGTGCTTTAACTGGTTTAGGCCTGTTGTGGACAGCTGACTCCCAAAGCTTTCATATTCTGTGTGGTGGTTAGTTCACAGCAGTGACAGAAACTTTTCATGTCCCCTTAAACTGATTTCCAAAGGCACTTTTACCTTTTATAAGGCCATTTCTTTCCTATCCTTGTTAGATATATGCATCAGGTCAAATTCTTACATTTAGTCAATAACTTGTTAGTTAGAATAATGCAACACTATCCACCTTTTTTTTTTTTTCTTAAGAGCAGGCACAGTCATTTGTAAATTTAATGTGTCTGGCTTCCGGTGTCATCTGCTTCCAGCTAATTTTAACTGTACAAAACAGCTTGTTTTGCTGCTTGATATTTCAAACTGGTGTGTCTTACCCTATTATTAATGTATTATATTAATTATGAACACACTGGTTTGTAGTGCAAACAATTTTACCGTTTACTGCACTTTGTTATTCTCTTCGTTATTTCCCTACAGTGGCTAATGAACCGGAAGTCTCGCACATTCAGAGAAAACGTCTTACTTCTGCGTTGAAAAATAAGGTGGATAGGCTGTTACCAATCATTTGAAATCAGTACCAACAGAAGTACCACAGAATCTGCACCTAAATCTTTTTTTTTTATTATTATTTACACTGCAATTCCATAAATAATGCTATGAGATTAATGCTTAAATTTTTGAATATTGAACCATAAACAAACAGAAAAATGCTAGCATTGTTTTTTTTTTTGAAAAGTGAGTAACACTCAGTAGACCATGTATTTGTTTTTTATTTATAGGAGTTGCTTAAAATGATACAGCTCTTCTTATTAGTACAATTATTCTTATAGTATAATAGTCATAGTAATCTTTAATAAGTGTGAACCTTATTCTACAGTCAGTTTTCTCTTTCAGGTCAGTCGCTGTCATGACAGAGCAAAAGATTTAACTGTCAACATGTTTATATTTAGCTACCTCAATAATAACACATCTAGTTTTTGTACAGACATTTGAAGATAACTCTATCGCCCCCTTGAGTACTTAGGTTGCTACTGCCACAGTAATTCAGGAATGCACGTTACACAGAGTTCTTTGCATATAATCTGTTTTCTTTTTGAAGAATCCAGATAGATACCTTCAGCTTGGGGCCAAGGTACCTAAGGGCTCTCTGCTCCTGGGGCCCCCTGGCTGTGGTAAAACTCTGCTGGCTAAGGCAGTGGCAACAGAAGCTCAGGTGCCCTTCCTTGCCATGGCAGGTTCAGAGTTTGTGGAGGTGATCGGAGGTAATTCAGTGCTATAAACTCTGTATATTTCATCATCCTATAGCAGCATCTTCATATTTACATCTGAATGATCTTTCCGCACCCAGGCCTTGGTGCCGCAAGAGTGCGAAGTCTTTTCAAAGAGGCTCGTGCTCGAGCGCCATGCATCGTCTACATCGATGAGATTGATGCTGTGGGGAAGAAACGGTCCACAAACATGTCTGGTTTCTCAAACACAGAGGAAGAGCAGACCCTTAACCAGCTGCTTGTGGAGATGGATGGTAATAATTAGGGATATGCGAGACTAGTCAACTAAATCGAAGCCCTTTACATGGGAAATACTAAATTAAATTATAATTTTTTCTCATATATGTTTTGCTTTAAATGTAAGCTAAAGGCTGTGTTTAATTATAATGTTAATGTTAAATTTTAAAACTAATACATTAATTTGTATAGTATTTATCTGAAGTGGAAAAAATCATTCACCTCTTGTACGAGTTCATTTTTTTCTCCTGGATGCATAAGTGTTTGCTATGGTAACAGGATAACAGCAAAACCTTGACTGTGCTGACCTAACTTTTATTAGATTTTTTATGTAATAGACTATTGAGTTGGTGCTGCACTGCATATACAGTGGGTACGGAAAGTATTCAGACCCCCTTAAATTGATTTTAATAAATGTCTGTATTGGCTAACGTGATCAGCATGTGACCTTCTGAGATGATTTTTCTTCTCTTTTTTTCAAGGAATGGGTACCACAGATCATGTGATTGTCCTGGCCTCCACTAACCGGGCAGACATTCTGGACAATGCACTTATGAGACCAGGCAGACTTGACAGGCACATATTTATAGACCTGCCAACTCTTCAGGTAATGAATGTTCAAAATGCTTTTTTGGGGACATAAAGCTGCTATAAACCGGCTTATTTTATTGTTAAGTTCTTGATTTTGATTGCTTACCAGATGTTCCAAATGTGAATAATTTTATGAAGTAGATTTGCTCACTGCATTATATTTGCATAATCACTTCTCTGCATTCTTTCTGGAGACTTTCAATCTAGTAATGGTGAATTGGGCAGTTTTTCTAAGCAAATTCTAATAATTGTCCTGAGATAAACGCATGTACACTACAATATTTGTAATGTTTTTGAAAGAAGTTACTCACCCAGGCTTAATTTATTTGATCACAAATATTGTAAAAACAGTGATGAACATGTTAAATGTTATTACAGTTTAAATGACAGTTAAACGATTTTAACTGTTTTCTATTTGAATATATTTTAAAATGTAATTTGTTCCTGTGATGGCAAAGTTGAATTTTCAGCAGCTGTTATACCAGACTTCTGTGTCTAGTATGCTGATATTGTGCTCAAGAATTTTTTATAATATCATCAAATGCTGACAATATTTTGCTGCTTAATATATTTGTGGAAACCAAGATACACTACCATTTAATATTTTGGTGTAAATAACACCAAAGGTACAACTGTATTAGGTACAACTGTTTTCAACATTAATAATAAGAAGAACTATTATTAATAAATGAGCACCAAATCAGCATACTAGAATGGCTCCTGAAGGATCGTGTGATTGTGTTCTAGGAGAGAAAGGAAATCTTTGAGCAGCACCTGAAGATCCTGAAGCTTACTCAGCCGGCAGACTTCTACTCCCTGCGTCTGGCAGAGTTGACACCAGGCTTCAGTGGTGAGTGTTGTTTTGACTGTGTCTGTGTTGTCTCCTAACACCACATCCTGCCACAATTGCCCTTTGTGCATTGTTCATATTTCCAGGGGCTGACATCGCCAACATCTGCAATGAAGCCGCCCTTCATGCTGCCAGAGAGGGCTACAAGTCTATTGACACCTTTAACTTTGAATATGCTGTGGAGAGAGTCATCGCAGGTATTCAGCTCCTAGCTAAAATGAGTGTACTCTGATATTGCATTACAGATTTCTACACAATCGGCTCCATTTGTTGATCACATTGTTTGTGATTTGTAGGGAGTGTGAAGAAGAGTAACATCTTATCTAAAGAAGAGCAGAGGGTGGTGGCTTTTCATGAGTCTGGTCATGCTTTAGTGGGATGGCTACTAGAACACACCGAAGCGGTCATGAAGGTAAACAGCTAAAGTATTATAAAAGTGGTCTATGTGAATTTTGTGCTATATTCTTAAGTCTTTTTAAAAAACTGGGACAGATGTGAGGGACAGATCAAACTTTTGGTTGTTCAAAATATTGGCATTTACATTTTTATGTGAACTACCTGTAGGCCTGTTCAGGTTTAGGCATCAGAAGAGTGATAAAGGAATCCAGTGACAATTGTGAACATGTTGTAATGCCAGATCACAGATTTGACAGATTCACTGTACAAAATGATTGAGAGTTGTGAATAAACCAAAGGTTACTGGAATAGGCTTTACAAGTAAATACTATTTCAGTCTGTCTGCTTCCAAATTTCACATTTAATTCAGTGTGGTACTTGCTGTTTCTTTAAAATTATTATTGATATTTACTAGCAATTTTTGAGTGAAAATAATTTCAAAGTAAGCCCTACACTGTATAGCAATCACTTTGTGATTAATTAACAATTTATTAATATACCCGAATCCATTGACATATCGTGTTTGTGTTTTAACTGTGGACTTGTTCTCCAGGTTTCAATTGCTCCCAGAACAAATGCTGCTTTGGGCTTTGCTCAGATCCTGCCAAAGGATCAGTATTTATTTACTAAAGAGCAGCTGTTTGAGAGGATGTGTATGGCTTTGGGTGGACGAGCCTCTGAAGCCATCACCTTCAATAAGGTCACCACAGGTATGACATATACACACTGATACACATCTAATATGATAGCACACACACACCTTTAAGAGGAGAGTTATGAATACATATTAGAGAAACGGAACTAGCAGATAGAATAGTAATTAGCATGAAACAGTGTGATAACAGAATAGGGTGTTTATTTAATGATTTGAATGATTTTTCTATTATTATGTTCTGTAGAGAGGAGACATATGAGTGAGAGAAAAATATTTGAATGTAGCTTTCAGGCGCCCCCTGGAGGACGAATGCATATTGACTAGTAGGAAATAGTTATTTGCAAGGAGCAATTGTGTACCCAGTAGTACAGATGCAGACCTGACCTCATAAATATTTATAGGTAGTAATAGACACCAGATAACTTAGAAACTTGTTGTAGGTGCTCAGGATGACCTGAGGAAGGTGACCCGCGTGGCCTACTCCATGGTGAAGCAGTATGGCATGGTTGCCAGTGTGGGCCAGGTGTCCTTCCCCGACTCCGAGGATCAGGGCGGTATTGGACGGAGACCATTCAGCCAAGGACTCCAACAGCAGATGGACCATGTGGGTGAAAGAACATACTCACCTGTTTATTGTTCCACTGGTGTGGTGTGGGTGATGTGACGTTACAGAGGCTTGTGTGGGTGTTAAATATCAGTTGTTTTGAATGTGTGTGTGGTTATTTATTTGTGTTCTTTTCTCTCATGTTCAGGAAGCTAAGATGCTAATAGCAAAGGCCTACAGGCACACAGAGAAATTGCTCTTGGACAACAGAGACAAACTTATTTTGGTAAGATCTAAAATCATGAAAATCTTCCTAAGAAAGAAGTTAAGAAATTTCTAAAGATCAATTCTAAGACATTCACAAAAAATGTTCCTAATTGTAGTTCTTGAAGAGAGTCTCAAATTCTTCTAAGGAAGTTCTCAAATATTTTCCAGATCTTTTGTTTTCTTAAAGGGGTCATATGATGCTGCTAAAAAGAACAGTATTTTGTGTGGCAAGCTTTGGGTTACCTGTTTGTATGGTGGATCTTGCTGAAGACTCGCTGGTCAACTCGATGAAAAACACTTTAAAGACCATCTTTTTGTCATGCAGATAATCATAAGCATGCATACTATTTTCATCATGACTGGCTTGAAGGGAGTTCAGAATTTTTAGCATTTTTTTATATGCTCTGTATTTTTAAATAGTTCCTTTGCTAGAGTGAGAATGCACAATATCATAAGTGCTGTTATAGAATTAAAAATGAGTGCATTATATGAATCGTTTTTTTAGAGTTGTTAATAAATGTAATATTCAGCAAAAAGTCAAGACACACAATCATGACTGATCATTATTTACATTAGTAGTGTCACTTCAGAGTAGTCCTGCACATCCCTATTAATAGTGATGTAGTTATGTTACGTTCAAATACATAATATTTGAAACAACAAAACATTTAGACAACCAGCCGACAACAGACCGTTTTTTTTTTTTTTTAAGATCTTAAGATCTTCAAAAAAGATAGCATTCTTAAGAAATGTTTTAGGAATGCAAAATGTTTAACAAACGTTAGAAAATAAGGAATTGTTTGTTTTTTTTCTTAAGAATGTTTTCTAAATGTGGCTCCAAATCATCTTAGCCGATTCAGTAATTTCTCATTTTCTCTTATTTTATACTCATAATACACTCACGTTTTTGTTACATTCTCACGTACATATAAGATTTTAAGCATACAAACCGATTTTGGACCTCTCAATAAATATGTACTACAGAATATGAGGTCATATTCAGTTTTGAATAAATAATACATTAGTTAATTTAGAAGTTTCTGTTCTGGCATGTAAAGTTACATTGATGAAAAAACGCCAAAATGAGCATTTTCTTTTTGTTGAATTGTGAGCCAAAATAGAAATGACATATATATTACAGAAGCTAAAAATGGTCAACTTAAATATTTTCTGTTGTTGTTTTTATTTCAGTTGGCTTTCGGCAAGCTAGGTAGAAAATCCTCATAGCATAGCCTTTTTTATTACTTTTTTTGGCTTGCATGATGACTTGTTGCATTGTTGTTGTTTGCTGTGTTTTCAGCTGGCTAATAACCTGCTGGAGAGGGAGGTGGTCAACTACGATGACATTGAGACTTTGCTGGGACCTCCTCCGTTTGGACCCAAAAAGATGATTGCCCCTCAAAGCTGGGTGGAGGCAGAAAGAGACAAGCAGGACACTGGTGAAGATGAGCCACGCAGACCCCAGAGACCCCTCCGCAAAGACAAAGATGATGACATCAACCTGAGTCCAGCGTGAGCTCCACAACACACGCAGTCACATTCACATGTGTAAACAGCCTTTAATGAGTACACGTGGAAGTTCAAGAGTGGATCGGCTGCCTTTGAGGATCAGTCTGATTTTCAAAATTGTGCTTTTAAGGGAAAAAAATGCTGTTCTTGCCCTTGATGTTCCAGCTCCGTTCTGCTCTGATTGACTGAAAAATAATGGCAACGTATGTGCTTGGTTTAGGCAGATCATTGACCAGTAATTATATTTGAAATGTCTTTAGGACAAACAACAACAACTTACAAGCATCAATCAAGCATTAAAGAGTAAAATTTAAAGTGTTTTTCTCAATAAGGTAGCTCTCTCTTAAAGAGTGGTAGATGCCTCCTTTGAGAAGTTCATGAAATGTACTGTTTTTAAAACAAGTAGTTGTGCTTTTTGAGCTTCTTTCCAGACTATACAGATCAGTTCTTAGTTGCCTAAGAAACCGGTTTGTTAGACCAGATAAGCATTGCCAGTGGTATGTCTGAAGTCATCTTGTGATGTCAGTGGATATTCTGCACCATATGCAATAAATTATTTTAAAAAATTGTTGAATGTCAAAGAGTTTTAATTTTACCAATTAGATTTATTTAGTTATTAGTCATTATTATTAGTTTTATTTTACCATTGATCGTAAATGTTTGTGGCAGTTGACTAAAATTTTTTTTTATGAAAAATACTCTTTACTGAAAATACAGACTATTCATACAGACTATTCATAACTAAAAGAAAAGATAACAACAGCATTTCACATTTTATTATGAAATAAATATTAAAAACAAAACTATGTAGTTCAAAATTGAGAAACACAGAAACTACCAAAATTATTACAATAGGCATTGTGTAATTAGGAACAACTTGTGTTCTTGAGGGGAAAGAACAAATATATACATTTAAGGCATCATTCATTTGGCAAACTTAATATGCTGCATATAAAAATTATACTTATTCCTAATGTTAATTCTCTTTAAATGTCTTTGTTTTACTTACTGAGGTTAACTGCAGGCAAGCAAAAATAGTATTACAAGCACAATTATTACACAAGATACTAATGTTGTATAAAAAGAACAATTGATCAAAAGATTAAAAAAAAACATTTTATTAGTCGATCTGTCTTAAAAATAGATATTGAACAATTCATGCATTTTTTTTTTTTATAGGAGTACGACTTTCTTCCATTGAAATACACAAGAATATATCATTTTGGAGCTGCTGTTTTCCGTACAACTAAAGGTTTTCATGGGCGGAAAACGAGGGATATTTACATACCATTGAGTAACAAATAACTCTTTATGTCCATTGAGTACCATGCATTAGCATTCAAATCATCTGTACTGACTCAAACGTGTTTTTTGTTGTTGTTTTTTTTATCACATAAGATTGAAAATGTCTCATTGGTGCTTTCACTCTCATCTTTATACGCTAAAACCAGTGTCCTTTGGTGTTACTACTATTCAAATTTGGCACTGTGTAACTTGATGCACCATATTTGACTATCTTTTTTTTTTTTTTATAGAAAAAAGCAGCTCTGAAGTTTACCAACATATAAAACATCCTTCTGTGTTCGATAGATGAAAGAAAGTCATGGGTTTAGAATGATGGTTATAAGTAAATGACAATTTATGAATATCAATTTCTTTTTTGGGTGAATTATTCTTCCTGTGTCTACCCCACATGCTCAGCAAACCTCTGTATTGGTCATCAGCTAAAAGAATCACTCAAGAACATGACGCTTGGTTTATGAACAAGGCATCTCTTTTTGCACCATGTCTAATCAGTATGCACTAACACACGGTTCCTCCCTCCAGTTGGTGCTTTCACAATGTGAGCCATTTGCGCACTGGCCCACAGTAAGCACCTGTCACACCAGCTTCAATATCAGCAGCATTTCATCAGCAGTTGAAATAGTTCACTGATCCATGAAGGAAAGGAAAAAGACACTGATGACCTTTACACTGATCACTGGGGAATAGATAGAGACCTCCATTTATCTACAATATCAATAATGTAATCCGCCCCCTCGTCCTTACATCATGAGCACTCTCTCATATTGAAGATGGGACATTTGATTTGCATAGAGTTTTGAAGGACATGCATGTATGAGAGTATCTGAACATCTTGAACAAAAGAATCAGTCTGGTGCCTAACGTGGGTCGTACATGTTAGCCAGTTTTTTAAACCGTGGTCCCCAGTCATTGAGGTAGTCATAGTCCTGGTCACCGTCTGAGCCCATGGAAGCGATAGAGCTAAGGCTGCCTGCTACCGACCCATCTCCCTCATAGTCATAGATCAGAGCTGTATCGTATGGTGGGACATTAGGGTCATTGTCAGCAGCGTCCAGCCCCTGTTGAGGTGAAGCAAAAAAAGTGCATTTGATTTTCATTGGTAATTACATAGCAAAGTAAGAGAATATGTCTACATTCATCTTAATTACATTTTAAGGGTCATCTAAAGTTTTATATTTGCCTTTGATTCAATTCTTTTACTATGTAGTTTTTATTTTTTATTTTATTGAATTTTGTTTTCTTGATTTAGCTATTAAATTTGTAATTTCCAAACTTAGAGTAAAAATAGCACTTAGCACCATGAAGAATAGTAATGATATATAACTAATATTTTCCTTTTTACTAACCTTTTCAAAGTAAATGCTAAGGAAAGTTCCTAATATTACCCACAAATATTCCAGAATGAATCTTAATTCTTATAAAGAAACCTCACTTACAACACTGATGAAATCTTCTATGTCTGTTGGGTCTCCGGGGGGTTTGCGTGGATATGTAGGAGAAGGCAGGTTATGGGGTGCATCTTTCCTTAGAGGTTGCTTTCCTCTGGGCAAGCTGCAGTCTTGTGGGAAAAATGAGGCTGGGGCAGGGACCATGTCACTTGGGTTCCTCAGAAAATCAATATTAAATGCATCCTATAGGAGAGAAACAGCTTTAGGTATTTCAGGAAGTTTAACATTTCACCTCAAAGCAGAATAAAATCCAACAAACATTCAACTTTATTATAATTTGCTGAACTAAAAGATTGAAAACACAAGGATTTTGCAAGCATTTAATGTGGGTCAGGAGGCCCTATACATCTGTCCACTCTATCACTCTAGGATCCATGTGTCAGATGGGGAAAATCCCCAGGATAAATCAAAGTCTTTGACTCGGACGGGAGCTATGTTCAATCATCCTATGCTTACTGCATATGAGCTCATCATACCATGTAGGCATATAATTTAGTAAATAGTGTCTATTTATTTTGTCTATGTGGAAAAAATGTCTTTGCTGTGCTGTGTTGTTTACTATTCATTTTGACAAATGTAGTAGGTCATATGAGTATTCTGCAGTATATACAGAATTGGCAAAGTGCACATACTGTGTACAAATCATAGTATGTTCTTCCTGTAAGTTACTCTCCACATCTGCTCCTATCTACTGTTGCATGATCTTTGCATAATATATTTTATATATTCACTTATTTATATATCTAGTTCAGAATACACTGTATCTACATGTAAAATGTATTCAATTTTGTGTCATTGCTCTTACTTCATCCTCTTCTCCTCCTCCCTGCTCATCATAGTGAAAGACATTGTCTCGGATGTCATCGTCAGACGCTCCGACCAGCAGACCTCCTCCTTTTCTAATGTTCTGCCTTGTGCAGCCCTTCACCGCCACAGCAAGAACGATCAGAACTGAAAAAAAAAAAGCTTTATTAGAACAAATTTCAAGTATATCTACTACCAATATACTACAGATTATGCATGTTCACATAAATATAGTGTTTACTTACACAACAGAAGAGCAATGCATCCCATAATAATCATAAGGGCAATGAAGCTTATTCCCATTTTGGTTCCAAAGATGACTGCGGTGTAGCTCTTGCAGTCACCGAAACTGTCACAGGGACACACAGTCACGTTGACCAGAGCATTAGAGGAAAGGGAAGGAGAGCCAGAGTCTGATACTACCACAGGAATAGAGAATTCCCCTTTCTCTATGTCTATCAGTGGCTGGAGAACCGCATGGGTCTCTGGTAACGGACATGTAAAGAGACAGAACCAGAAGCGAGGGGTCTTAGAAATCAAAGTACACTCTGTGAAATCTGTTTCTAAAGCAAGGGTAGCCAACGCTGCTCCTATTGGTCTACCTATCCTCCTGCAGACTTAACTTCCAACCTTTCTTCAACACACCTGCCTGTTATTTTCAAGTAATCCTGAGCACTTTTATTAGCTTCAAATCTTTTTAATTATGGTTGGAGGATGGTAGCCCTCAAGGAGCCAGGTTGGCTACCCTTATTTTAAACTAGTGATTCTCAACTCTGGCCCTCAAGGTCCACTTTTCTTCAGAGTTTTACTCCAACCCTATTCAAATACATCTTAACAAGCCCTCCAAGAGCAGGGTTAGCTACACTTGAGGTCCACTTTCCTGCAGAGTTTTGCTCCAACCCTTATATAAATATTACAAGCTAATCAAGGTCAGAACTGCTCGAAAGTAAAAGGCAGGTGAGTTTGATCGAGGTTAGTGCTAAATTCTACACAATGGTTGCCCTAAAGGAGAAGGGTTAGCTAGGGTGACCATACGTGCCATTTTCCCAGAACACGTCCTGGCCAGGATTTCTATATTGCCTAAAATATCTAGGTTTTGGCTTTGTTTGCGTGTGCAGACCGATCGGTGTATGACATAAAAATACCATACAGACGGTTCCTTATGCTTTCAAAATGCTCTCGAGGTATTTTGATGTCATACACCGATCGGTCTGCACACGCAAACAAAGCCAAAACCTAGATATTTTAGGCAATATAGAAATCCTGGCCAGGACGCGTCCTGGGAAAATGGCACGTATGGTCACCCTAGGTTAGCTACCCTTGCTCTAAAGCAGGGGTTCTCAACTCTGGCCCTTGAGGTCCACTTTGCTGCAGAGTTTAGCTCCAACCTTGATCAGACTCACCTGCCTTTCTAATAATCCTGAATACCTTGATTAGCTTGTTCAAGTGTGTTTGATTAAGGTTTTCTCTAAATAATAAATAATAATAATATAATGCAGCAGTCTTCTTGACTTACTTAATCAGCAAGATTTCTAGTTTAACTAGCTTCAACAAAGACCAATAAAACAACATCTAGATAAGTACCAAACCAGCATTAACCAGTCTGTTTCCACTCCTGGCTTCTTAGCTAGCTTGATTATCTAAGACTTACTTGATTGACCAGTTCCACCTGAAAGACCATGCTGGTTAACTGGCTTAACC